TAGACTAAATGGACAAATAAAGGCAAGCTAACTTTACAGCTCAAATATCAGACATCATTGTGTTAAAATATTGCACATTTATGCTTTTAAACCGTCCAGGATTTCTTGCTCGTTAGGCTTCCATTGTAAGTGCATTACTCTGTTTACTTTTACAAACTGATGGATGAATTGAAGTTGTTAATCGGCAGCACGTTGATGTTCCACTTAGATCTTAAGTTGTTTGGAACCTTTAAAATTAGTTTTGCAAATAACTTTTTTATCCCCTAGTTTAGTAGAAAATCATCTATGATCTGATGTTTTAAAGTCAGAAACCAAAGCACTGACACTGACATGAGCCTCAAGAACCTCAGACTTTTCCTGATAAGATGAGTTTCTTTTCTGAACCCAAGAATCACTGAAGTACCTTTATTTTTAAGACTGAGCTAAAATCTCTGCGCCCAATAAATCTTAAAACCACACACACTTGTCCCATAAGATGACGGTCTCCGAGCCGTTTATGTGTCATTAGTGTCAGAGTTTGAGGAGAAACTCGCTCTGATCCAAAGCTCCTCAGTGCTGACTGCAAACACGGACCTGAGAGTTCAATCGCAATCCAGACTCAGACCCTGAACAACACCCATGAAATATAGCTCTTATATATGAAAGGAGTCCTGAACACACTATAAATGTCTCCTGTATGATGTTAACCCTCAGGTCTGCGTGATTCACAGTTGTTCAGCTGTTCAGTCTTTCACTCCCGTCACTGCAAACGCACATACAACAGCACTTCTTCTGCCTTTAGATTCAGATACATACGAAATGCAAGTGTTGCATAGGTTATACTACTCCACAAGTCATCGAAAAACAGAACAGGCATAGAATTACAGTCATGATAATCAAGAAATGATTTGAAAGCAACATGAAAGCAGTTCTCAGATGATTTGTAATCAGACTCAAACTGCATAAAATAAGTTACTTCCTCTGTGTTTTGGTCTTGATCTCCAGTACAAATATCTAAACATTCTAAAGTTTTGTGAACAATGTATCAAAATGAAGTGAGTTCATGCTTAAAACAAGAAAAATGTCTCCTGATGGGGTCAGAAAAGTAAACTTAATTCAAAAAGAAAGCACGATTATTGGCTGATATTTGTCTTGTTTTAAGCATGAACTTGCTTCATTTGATACATTTTTCACAAAACAAGACTGAATATCTTCTTTCATTTTGCTTTTTAAGTAAATATATCTTACATGTATGTACGTTTAGCAGACGCTTTTATCCAAAGTGCTATAACAAGTCTCAGTTAGCTTAACGCAGAATACGTAGGAAGGTTTTTAATTAATTTATTTTATATAAAATCAAAATAAACAGATAAATTAGAAAAAGAATAGAGCAAGCTAGTGTTGGAGGCCTTTTTTTTTCTTTTTGTTAATTGTAAAATAAATAAAAAGAAAACAAATGTATAGTAATACATGTGTGCAATCTAAAAGGGGCAATTTTTTTTTTTTTAAGAATATAATTAGAATAGAGAGTGGTAGAGTTAGAGCGTCAAATAAAGATGGAAAATATGTGTTTTTAGGCGATTTTGATTTAAGAATATTTCGATATTTGCTCTGGAAAACAAGGCAAAAGTACCTAAAACAAATAACTTATATTGGAGTCTGTTTCTCACAAAACTCTGCTTCCGTAGATCCACAGAAGACAGAAAGTCTGTCAGGTTTGGATGGCGAGTAAATAATGACAGAATCTGAGCTTGTGGACGGATGAGAGGCGTAAGAGCGATGTTTGATTATTGGCCCCGAAAGCGTCTGGAGTTCACGTGGATGTCGAGTTCTTCTTGAAATATGATTTGTGCTCGGCGCGTCCCTCTGAGGCTGTTATCACGGCACATAGGTGGTCTTCAGAGCCGTCTGTCAGATTTATTGATACCCCTCGCTGCGGGACTTTGTCTTCTTGGAGAATGTCAGGCGTGTAATAACACACAAAACTAGAAAAAAACAAAGTGCTTCTGCTGACAAAGCATTTATTCTGTGGAGAGGAGCTGGTTTGATCAGGCAGGTGCAACCTCGGCCTTTTATTCCACCGCCTCAGGCTACTCTTCCGCTCTTAAATAAACTCATTACAATAAGTCATGGTCAATAATTATAAAAGAGCGGCCGTGGCAGTCGAGGTAATAGCATGCGCGAGAGCAGCAGAAGGTAATGTAAAGGTAAAACTAATTGTGTCTGATAAGGTTGCGGTTAAACAGCAGTTTGGGACAGAAAGACTCCGGGCATTAAAACGATTACCGCCGTTAAAACGTGAAATTCACCAAAGAAACTGCTGCTGCTCCTGAAACGGTGTTATCTAGATCAGACTCCAGGCCTGCTATTCACTGTTTTTTAAAAGGTTCATGTCGCAATGTTTCTTTATTTTTTTTCAGAAACTTGACGTACTTTGAACATCCTATAACTTCTTACCGTCCATATTTACACACTTTAGAGAAAGACCATTGGTTATTGCATGATAAAAAATATTGAATCGACAGCAAACATCCAGCTGCAGCTCATTTCACATGCGAAGAGACACGTTTACATAAGACATAAAAATGCAAAAGAAAATATATTTATTTAATATTAAATGTAATATTTCATATACATATGTATTTTAATTTGTATATATTAAATCAATTGATTTAAACATATTAATGTTAAAATGAATTTCATATTAAACTGTAACAAATGTGTACAATAAATATTATATACTAAATATGTTTATTTAAAAAAATGTATAATTCATTTTTTTAACATAGATAAGTACATTATTATATATTACATATATTTATTTAAAATATTTGCATTAAAAGTAATTTATGTATTTGAAATATATTTATGTATTAATTAATTGTATATTGAATATTTTAATATAAATATGTATATTAAATATGACATGTTAAATGTTTATTTAAATACATGTATACTAAAATCATTCTAACAGTCACAAGGGTCACAAAGAGGGTGTAAAATTAATAACAATAATAATAATAATAATAATAATAATAAGGATGATTTTGCCCATTTAAAAATCCCCTGATATTTCCACTTATCCATGTTTGGGGAGCCTTGATACTTAAAGGTATTCTCTGTATTGCTTTTAGAAATAGCAAAGTTTAACAACTTCAAGCGGAGTCATTTATCTGATCGATTAAAAGTGAATTATCCATAAAAATGATTGCTGGGATGCTGCTCGCTGCCAGCCTTCATGCGCAGACGAACCTGCCGTTTAATTAGCAGAATCGGGTTCTAACGCGCGTCTCCTTCAGTCTCTGACCTTATTTGTTTGCGCGGAGGTAATTTCATTATGGCATGTGATTCCCTGAGCTCCCGGTGTTAACGCGAGGAGCTGGCAGGAGACGAGCGGAGGATTTGGCACCGGACCCCTGAACGGAGAAGCCGCGGGAACAATACGACTCTTTCATGTTGACAAATTCCATTAGTGAGCAAAAGGTTGTGCTTATGGAGCGTTTTATTTATGATAATAGCTCAGCATAAAGTGGAGAAATATCCATCACCTGCCACCTATACACACACAGTGTGTGTCTCTCTGCTGTCAGATAAGTGTGTGTCTCTCAGGTTTCAGGTTAATCGCTACAGGAAGAGTGAGTCTGGAGAAGATGTTTTACACTCTCATCTCCGATCCTTTGCTCTGACATTCAGGAGGAGAATCAGTCATGCAAGGGGCAGGAGAAAAATCTCCAGCGAAAAGACTTTCTCTCCTCACCATGTGTTATTCAGCTGCAGTGTATAGTCAGGACTGAGTGTTAAAATAGATATTAAACTGCACTCATTAATTATACTGTATGTTATTACACACACACTCACACAAACACAGACACACACACACTCACACACTCTCTCTCACACACACACACACACACACACACACACACACACACACTCAAAACTTAAGTAAAAATTTATTCATCTTTGCAACACTTCACTGTTAGTTTAGGTACATTTCATAATATTAACAGATATAACTTTTACACTTATAATAATGTATTATTAGTAGGGTTGCAAAAAAGGTGGAATATTTCCAGTAAATTTCAGAAACATTCCAGGATTTTTTTTTTTAATTCCAGGGATTTTTGGGAAGTTCCCAGAAACTTACCGGAAATGTTCCACCCCTTTGCAACCCTAATTATTAGTAAATGCTGAAATCAACATGAACTAAGTTTAATAAATGCTTGAAAGTATTTGTCTTTGTTAGTTCATGTTAACTAATGTTAACAAATAGAACTTTATACTACAGTGTTACCAAAAAAAAACTATTGTTACTAAAACATCAGTAACTTGTAAAGACATACAGACAGCAAAGTGTCCAGCCTTACGGTTCCTCTCACAGCATTATTAAAGACAGAATCAGCTCGTTGCATTGCATCTCCTCGTTTCCTCCATCACTTTGAGCTTCTGATGGGTTTGAGCGCAGGGGTTTTAATGAGACAGAAATGTTCATGGCAGAGAAGCACAACAGACAGCCTCAGCTTTGGTCAATTAGGGAGAAGAGAGAGACTGAGAAGGAGAAGCTCATGAATGGAAACCACGCGCTGACGGTTCGACGGAGAGCTTGGATCCACATCATGGTGGGTCTTTATTTCCAGAGACGCACAGGTTGGACCGATTAGGACAGCTTAGTAATTCAAGAAGATGCAATTTAAAGAAGGCAGAGAAATATAAAACACACAAGTCTCTTTATGGACTTCCCAACATCAGTCTGAAAATCCATCATCAGAATAACTACAAGACAGATCAATAGATAGATAGATTCAGTAGATAGACTGATAGATAGAAGCGTTAACATGATGTGATTTGGTTGCTCAGTGAACGCGAGGTGACATCTCTTCAGAAATGCGATCCTATCGCAAGCTAAGTGTTTTATGAGGAAAATGTTTCCAAATGTCTTTCCAAAAACTTCCCCGACCACACCAAAGAAACGCCACAGTAATATTGTATTTCATCCACATTCTCCTGCGTGATTGTCTGACTTTAGTGTAATTGCGTCAGAAAATTGAGCCTTCGTTTTCCTCTGACATGTGAGAAGGCTTCAGATCTCCGAACATTAGGGTCTCTCACGCTCTTTGAAGGTGGAAAGCTTTGGCTGTAGGTAACAATGTTTCAGAATAGCTAAGTGTTTTATGAGGAAAATGTTTCCAAATGTCTTTCCAAAAACTTCCCCGACCACACCAAAGAAACGCCACAGTAATATTGTATTTCATCCACATTCTCCTGCGTGATTGTCTGACTTTAGTGTAATTGCGTCAGAAAATTGAGCCTTCGTTTTCCTCTGACATGTGAGAAGGCTTCAGATCGCCGAACATTAGGGTCTCTCACGCTCTTTGAAGGTGGAAAGCTTTGGCTGTAGGTAACAGTGTTTCAGAACGAGCTCAGAGCCGTGAAGAGCAGATCTGGGTTTGCCGTAAGTTCTTCTAGCTTCTGGAAAATAAATGACAAATAATGACTTAAATGTTTCTATTGTGCATGATTCCTTGGTGCACGGTATTCAAAGAAAAAAAAGTGTACCTCATAAATCTTCACCAAACTTTTTTTTTTCTTTCTTTCTTTTTTAAAAAATAAAATAAAATAAGCAAATAAAGAATTAAATTGTGTTGGATGAACTAAAACTCTGCGTTCTTGTTGTGCATCCTGTTACAGAAATATGTAGCTTACAGAAATAAAATGGGTTGTGAATGCATTTCATGTTGTTGGACTGATGTTCTTACATTCAGAATGTTGTAGTGACTTATTTTATTGTTATTTTTCAACTCGCATGCAAATTGCATTTTATCAATTGTGGCTACACTATTTTGAATTAATTTAATGAGCCAATATGGATTTGTTAATTTCCAAACTTGTTTTTAAAAAAATGAAAAAAAAAAAAAAATTCTATATATCTATATATACACTATTATTTTTTCCTTCAAAGATTATTGAAGTACATAATATGTTTTTTTTTTTAATACTCATTGTTTCTTTGTTATTGTGTGTAAAATTTACTAGCAATTTCTGAGTGAAAATCATCTCTACACCATTTGTGTGTGTGTGTGTGTGTGTGTGTGTGTGTGTTTAAGCATTGAGCTATAATTTTACAATGCAACAATATGTCTATGTCCATAAGTCCATCATTGCAAATAACTGTACTTTTTTTCATAAACAAATACTAATTAATGAAAATTAATTTTCATTAATAAATAATAATAACTAACTAAATAAATAAATAAATAAATAAACAAACAAACAATATTCTGCTGTAATAAAAAAATTAATAAATGACACCGGTGTCCTACTGAAAGGACAGATCAGAGTTGAGTAGTGTGTCTTTCACTCTGAGTGTCCAAATCCAAACTTATTGAGAGCAACAACAACTAAAGCTATATGCATCTGTTTCAAAGCCATAGTAAGCTGACTACGTAGGCCACATTTTAAGGGGTCATCTCTTCCTATGAAAGTTGTTCCTAAAGGTATCCATCTTCATGTCAAACTAATGCATACATGGAGAAACAGTTCCAAAATGCATTGCAACAGTCTCCACGAAAAATGTAAGATATTCAATGCTGAATAATGTCTATAAAAACAGTTATATGAAAATAATAACACACATTTTTTTACTTAATATCTGTGCTGTGTATTTGATTGCTTATTATGTTTTTAGCCAAGCATGTTGAGTCTTTGCACTTCACATTTATTACTTTAGCAGATGCGTTTAACCAGTGGACCTTTGGCCAATTTTCCCGCAAGAGAAAGACATTTACATGTGTTGAACTTTTACGAGCTCACTAATATACATATGAGCTCAGCACTACCATCTATGAACCAAAAAGCCCAAAAGTCAGATTCTGATTTCAGGGCTTCTTTTACAAACAAAGGTTTCTCAAGGTAAAGCGGCAAGGACAGCACGGCTGTTTACTCCTCAATGCTTTACTGCACTTATAAACACATTTGCATAATTTGGTTACTTGCGCACTAAATCAAAATTCTGTTCTTTATACTTAGAGCCCGGCCTCTAAATTTGCAATCATGAAATGCTACAAAGGACTTTTGTGGAGTACGGCAAATCAACAGAACGATAAATGAACGCTGAAAAATTAGAATGATTTTGATAGCCGGCGCTCCTCCCTCTCGCCCCCACCCAGCCACTTTAGCGGCATAATCTAGTAAAGATTAAAAATAACGATCATAAAACAGGCATTCCCTGAAAGTAATCCACCTCCACGCAAGAGGACGGGCCCCGCGCCTCTCCTGCTCGCTCTGTCAGCCTGTATTTTAAACAGTTCTAATCATATACCTTTGTGGACACTTAATTAAAATTACAAAACCAATTTTAATCTGTAGTCCAATTAATATGCAAATATATGCAAATGTAGCGAAACAAGGTGGTGATTAAGTTAAGAACACTCTCCTTTAAGTGTGAAAACAAACCCTCTTTTTTTCTCCTTCTCTCTGATGGATTGTAATGTTTACTGGGCTCATGCTGAGCTGCAGAAAATAGCCTTTCCAGAATCATCTTTGAGAACGCCGGCGCGTCTGTTAGCGTTCTGTACATCGCTGCATCGTTGACGCTCGTCGCAGTCTTTCAGCTAAAGGTCGTGACAAAGTGAGACGACCGTACGGAGCTTTTTAACATGCAAGAGTCGCTTTTCACAGCTTTAGGTGAGCGCTGACAAAAGGATGTTTCTAATTAGGCCTCGGAGATAGTCGTTCAAAGTCATCTCTGGAGGGGTCCGTTCAGACCAGGTAATGACTAGAGCTCATCATCAAACAGGTTTTGTTGAGAAAGTGGCTGGGAAAGGCCAGAAAAGCAAACTTTTCTTTAGCTCTTCCCAATTGTTTCATTCCAGAAGGTTAAAATGACACTTTCCACAAACAGTTCAGCTGAATTTCCACAGACTCATCACAACACGCCACCTTAAAAAAAGACGTTTATAAGTTGATCTTAATTAGAGAGGTTTCTGACGAAACGGCCAAAACGATGGGAACGACAGCAGACGTGTCCACAATTTACATCCCGGCTGAGTCACGCGGGGCTGAGGCGTCTGTCCGACTCTAATTAGTTGTGTTTGAGGAGAAAACGTTCGTTTTTCCATTCCTTAACAAACCACGGAGAAACGAAGACATGCAAATGAAGATCTCCAACCCAAACACAGAACACATGCATCACACAACTAATGAGAAGCGGGGACCGCTAAACAAAACCGCTGCACTTCATGTTAGATGTGCAGGTAACGGCTAAAGAAAGCGAAATAACTACGCAAATCTGCAGGTGCAAATTACTGTAAAAAAAGCAACTATATATTTTCCAGCTTTAGGGACCTTTTGAGTCACATATATATATATAAAATAATTACTTGAAACTCTACAGAACACAAACACATTTGTATGAACGGAATTTTAAACTGCATGCGTTTATGAATCAATTATGCACTTCCTAGATTACTGTTTTTCTACTGTTTTATCATTATCGTTAGTTATGCGTTGTGATGTTACGAGCTCATCTTTTTACTTTTCTTATAAATTATTTGTTGTGTTTCTAACTAAAAAAATTGAACAATTGAACTGAACAAGAAATCTTTAGTTGACGATGGATTTATTGGCTGAATGAGACATTTTGCATTTAGTGAACGAACAAATTCAAATTCCCAAAACATAGTAGCACTACTTAAGACAATTCTTAAGACAATAGCAGAAAGAACCAAAAATCCAAATCAAGTTGCATTGATTTTTTTTCTTTGCATGACTGTGGATCAACTGTAAATCAGTGGTGGGTTGCAGGTAAAAACAATGCTAGATGTGTTAAGTTAAACTTTTTACAACACTTCCCATATATAATGTTGTTGGTGCCGGTTAAACTCTACACAGACGAGTGCATTTGCTGTGATGTTGAGTTTTCAATAATTAGTTGTTGACACTCAAAATCTTATTTTGTACAAAAATAATAGTTTGGTGCTTTTGGGGTGTCTAATGTAAATGCACAACCAGACAAGCTGCTGTTAAACCTGTAATGCATGCTTGTGTCGCCTCTGGAAAGAACAACCACAACGAGGTCTCAATAATATCTCTATTCTTTCTCCAAG